TAGTCTACATTAAGGTTCATTCTGCATTGTGCATTCCGTGGGTTTGCCAAATGCATCACGTCATGTGTCCATCATGATACAATCAGGCAGAACAGTTTCACTTCCTCAAAAATCTCCTTGTTCCACCTTTTCAACCCTCTCTGTTTAGATCTTCCTTCTTTTCTAATATTGTGTGTTCAATGCTAACCAATTCCCTCCATGTGCACTGCCCTTACTGCATCCCACAAACTTTAATTCATTATTTTTTCATTTAGAGCATAATATTTTAAAATTTCTCTCAAAACTTCTTTGACCCTTGTATAACTTACAAGTGTGTTTTTTGATCTCCGAATATGTTGGAATTTTCCAGATAGCTTTCTTTCATTGATTTCTTATTTAATTCCATTGCGGTAGAGAGCATACTTTGCATGATATCTGTTCTTTGGAATTTGTTAAGGCCCAGAATGTGGTCTGTCTTGGTGAATGTCCCATGTGAGCTTGAAAAGAATGTATATTCTTGGATGAAGGAGTCTATAAATGCCTTTTCCTTAGCCAGCTCAATTAATTGACACTCCCCACTCCTGTATATCCTGTGACTTGAGCCAAAGGCAAAATGGAACCGTGAAGCATCTGAGGGTCCACAGGACACTCTGCTCACCATTCGATTGTATGTAAATCAAAGATCTGGTTGGCTCCCAAGTGCCTTTTTGGCAATTGTGCTTGTTAATGAAATGCATGTTTTTCACTAACTATCTATAAGGAGATCCAAAAATAAGTACAAATGACATCTGTCCTTAGAAAACCAATGTTTTCAACCAACATGAATTCTTTGGAAAAAGGCAGTAAAGGCAAATTTCATAAAACGTTGCATGGAATTAGATAAGAGTGAGGCAACTGTAAAAGACTAAGGAAATATTGGAAAAATCCAGAATTGTGCCCTCATGCTTTTGCAGATGGCTTTATGTTCTTGATACCTTTAAAGAAACAGGAACAGGAAACTAAAGACAGCTCACCCTTGTGTGTTTTACGCAAGGTAGTAATGCAAGGTTCTGGTTGGGGGGCCTACTCTCAGCAAAAAGGACTAGGTCTTTACTGGACAACTGGGAAATTAAGGCACATGTGTGGGCCCTGGCAACCAAGTTTGAGAATCATGATACTCTGATGCCCTGCCTATGGAGTTGAAGACCCACAAGGGGGAAGTGACTTGCTCAAGGTCACACCACAAATTTTGGCCAGAGCCAAGCAAAATACACCTCTTGTGTGCATGCATGGCAATGTGTTTCTGTGGTGCTCAGAAGTATTACTTAACCTTCTTAGGCCAACGCCCCTAGCAAATCTGATTGAACCAAGGAGGAACCAGCACAGGGGGGTTCGGAGCACTGAGAGGCGTAAGCCATGTGCCAAGTTTGTGCCAAGTTCCTTTCGCCAGGAACTACCAGCTCCTTGAACTTCCCTTTTCCCGGGCCTCACCTTTGTCAGTCCCGATGGAAGACCAGACTTTGGCAACTTGCTCTCTCCTCTTTCAAGTATTTACTATTATTATTATCATTCCCATTGTCCAGATGAGGAAACTGAGACTCAAGGAGGTTAGGGTCCACTGCTGGAAATCGACGGTCAGGATTCGAATGCCGGACTGAATGATTGAAAAGCTGGTGAGCTGTTTCGGTCTGGTGCTTTTTACCACACCATATTGCCTCTTGCAAAGTGTTTTATTTCAGTGAGACAAAAAAGGTAATTAGCCAAGGCAGGTGTACTGGTATTTATGAAAATTTTGCTCAGGTATATTCATCTCAGCTTCTTTGGCATGCCCCCATGCCTGGGGAAGGAGATCAACCATTTTAGAGATGGAAGTTAGGTTTCTTTTCACCTGTCCATGACTGACGGGTAGTGGCTGCCTAGTGCTGTGTTGAGAAGGATTCAGAGGTTGCTAGTAGGCTCTAGCTTTCCTATATCAATAGGAAAAATGCCATATTGATTAGTGATTTCTTCTACAAGCACAGGACAAGAAAGTGCTAAGAAGTGTCTCCTGCCATTCCTTGGAGGCCTGTATGACCTAAATTGGCATCTCTCTCCACCTGGTGGCAGCTGGCTAAAGTGTGGGAAATATAGGTGGACTTGAGGGCAGTGATTTGCAAAGTCATGATGGAGGTGGGAAGCACAAAACATCAACCAGGAAATATTTTCAAATATACACCTTGTCCCCAGGGCACAGCGGAATCTGGGAGAGGGAGAAGTCATTGGGGTGGGAGGGACAGCAGTGTGCATTGGGGCAGAGTATGGGTCATTTGAAAATCAAATCTTCCCAGGGAATTCTTTGAGGACTTCTGCCCCAAAACCGAGACCCACCTTTTTGGGAACAAGAAGAGGAAATTGTCTCCAGCTTGACCGGGAAGGGAAGGTTCTGTTGGATGGAATGGACAGCTCCTTCTGGGAAGTCACCAACATTCCTGATAAATTGCTTAAACACTTTTGGGATAAATTATAGTGAGGTAATCCTTCTGGAAAGTTAGTTACTCAGCTCACTTTCAAGACTGTTGAGAATCTCAAGTTAGCATCATGTGTGAAGGCTCATTGTGGGGCAGAGCAGAAGTGCTAGAATACCAAGGTGATGTTCTTGGTGATCTGTGTTAGTATCAGTCAGTGTGTTAAGAGCGCAGGGGTCCAATGATCTGGCTCCTCTCCTGGCACTGGTGCCCTGAGATGCTGGGTGTGTCATTCCCTTCTCTAGGCTTTGGGTTATTCATGTCAGACAAGTGGGTTGACTGATTAGCCCTGGCTCTTGGCTGGTGTCTCTTTCAGCCCTGATATTAGCTGATTCCACAACCACTTGGGGCTTTCCTCTGGGGTAGGTGGGAGATAATGGTGCTGCTTCCCCATTGGGTAACTGCCAGCAAAAAGCATTCTTGTAAGAGGGTGTGGGGTCAGCCAAGTTGCTTTGAGCCCACCTGCCCAAGATGAAATCCACTAGAAAACAAACTCCACATGGGCAGAGACCACATCTGCTTGTCCGCTGCTGTGTCCCCGGGGCTGAATGTAGTAGATGCTCATTAAATACTGGCTATCCAAGTAGCAGAATGTACCCTGATGGGGAGAAAGAACTTCCAGAAACCAGAAAGGAAAAACCTAGGCCACCTCTTTTCCTGGATATTCCTACTTTATTTCTGGCTACATCAGCACAAAGAAAGGAAATGGGTGGTTCTGCATGCACCAGAGGGGGTGTGTGTATTCTAGGCAGGGAGGTGATTACACTTGTCCAGGGGGTGTGTGCCCGGACAGAGCAAAAGCTCACTGCATGCTGATTCTAGCGCCAGTACCAGCGTTAGGCATTGGCAACATAGCCAGCATGCTTTCTCTCAAGGGCAAGCCGTGGAAAGGCAGTGGGGCTGAGAGTGGGCACCAAGGGGACCGACGGGGAGGGAGAGGGTTGGGAGGGAAGATGGCAGCCAGGAAGCTGTCAGCCATCTTGGGAAGGTGAAGAGCTTGATGTTGGTTATCCAAGGCAAGAAATTGGTGTCTTCCACTGAATTGTACAGGGAGCTGGGGGTGGAAGGAGAAGGTTAAAAGGCATGTGTTTGGAGAAGTGAGAGTTTTAGTGTCCATCGGATGACTTCTATAGGTAAGGGTGGACTGTTGGGTAAGAAGAGGTGACTTTTGTGGCAGTGGGGGAAACACCATGGAAACTGGGAAAAATCACTTTCTCCTGGGGTGCTGAAGATTGCCTGTCACTCTTTAGTATATAGACCCACGATGGTATTTCATTCTCCCGACAAACTTGGTTAGAGGGTGCAAGAGATAGGAAGACAAGAGAGACTGAGACCAAGATACAGACAGAGATACAGAGAGGTTCTAGGCAGTTCAGAGTGAGGGACAGGATGCGAAAGGGTCAGAGAGCCAGGGAGCTGGTGGTTTGCTCATTTAACTAAGAGCAGAGGGAGGACAAAGGCTGGGGCTTTGGAGAGGCCCCCCGGGGCCCAGAACTCTGGTGTCTAATGTCTGTGCGCTTGGGGAGGCCAGGGGCTGAGAAAGCCCCTCTATGTGCCTCAGGGTGCTGCTGTGCCCTTCGGGCAGTGCCAGCTGCTGGCCTGGGGCTGAGCCACCTGGCTCGTCTAGCAAAGAAGTGGGTGGTTTTAGGCAGGGTGGGCCTAAGTAGAACTTCAGGCTTCTGCCTGTGTTCTGTCAAGCTGGTGAAACGAGAAGAGGGGGAGAGGCTGCATTAAGATATTTTTTGCTTTTGCTATTTTACCCCCTTAGAGAGGGAGGAGGGGAAGGGGAGAGAGTTGGGAGAAGAGGGAAGAGGAGAGACGGGGAGAAAGGGTGAATTGGACATGGCGCAAAGGAGAGCTAGAGGGAGGCGGGGTCATAGAGAATGGGTGCTAATTTGTGCAAGGAAGCAAACGGGCTTCCTGAAAGGGCTACCGAGTCCCTCTGTGTGTCCTTCGTGTCAATTTCTTGATGCATTTGGAGCAGGGAGGGTGTGTTCCTAGCCTCTGAGGAGTTTAACCCCAGGGGTCTGTGTTCCTGGCCATGGGGGTATGTCATAGGGACTGCGGGAGCCTGGGGGCACTAGTTCTGCCCCAGAGCTCACTAGTTCTCACAGCCTTGCCTGGGGCAACTGCAAACTGAGGACACGTGCAAATGTGATGCAGGAAACGCAAGTTGGTCCATGTTTGTTCAAGGCCAGGAGGGTCTAAAAACAGTCCCAAACAGTGAAGAACCTTTGTAACATACCCAAACCCAGAGTCTGTTAAGTTAACGGCCTCCTTGTAAAATGTGCCCATCCCCTAGCCCTCCTGCTCCATCCTGGAGGGGCCAGAGGGGCCGCATCCTCAGCGGCCTGGCAGCATTGCCGAAGAAGGAGGACTTTGGTGGCAGTGCCCGTGGGCGGGGGCAACGAAAGGCAAGCTCAGGAAGGGCTGGGTGGGGAGGCCAGGAGAAGAGAGACCAGAGTGTGATGGGCAGCTGGGGCAGGCTGGGGGTGACTGGGCATGGGTGGGGCAGGGGCTGGGGGCCTGGCCACCATCCTAATCACTTGACATGTGATTCTTGTTCTGTAGTTGGTGCCAGCGCTTCATCTTCTTGTCCTTGTTTTTCAGACACTCGTACCAGTGTTTCAAGCGCTCTCCCTTGGCTGAGATCCCCAGGTGGCAGCCTCCTGGGGGACAAGATGGGAAGATAGGAGCAGGTGGGCAGAGTGGAGGGATGCATGGGATTTGCATTTTGGACCGAAATGTCTATTTGGGGAAAACCTGACACCAAGCAGACCCCCTCCACCAAACAGATCCGTTTCTCTATGGACAATTACTGGCATGATGTTATGATTACTACTGGCCTTCTCTACCTATAGACCATGTACTCAAGAACCTGCAAGGACCCCCTATTATGGCATCAAGTCATTCCTAAATCATCTATTTTCTAGGACTTTCTACAAATCACCACCTTACTCCCTGATAATTCTCTCCTACTACTTCCGGGTTCTCATTGCCTATTTCCAAAGAGTCAGTTTCGTCACCCAAGCAACCCTGCCTCCACACCTTTGCTCCCAACGTCTCCCCTGCCTGGGGTTCCCTTCCTGCTCCATCTTTAGTGACTATTCTTCCTCACCATTTGGTGGGGGCTGCAAAAATCAGAACCTTCATCCTGGACTTGCCAGTAGATTAAGGAGATATCCATTGCACCGTGTTGTTCACAGAGGCCACAAGACCCCAATCTGCTGTGATTTAACTATTCTGCCGGAGGTGATTTATTCAGTAAATAACCAATTGTGATTGACTCTTCCTGGCTTGGTGAGCTTTCATCTAAAGGCATCTGCAGGTGAGACCCAAATCAGGCCCATGGGGCCCAACTTAGCCTTTAGACAATGTGGTTACGTGCAGGAAAGGGCTACCCTCAGCTCTGTACAGCCCCAGATAAGGCTCTCATCTCCTGGGAGGACAGAAGATGGGGTTTTCTCTGGGAGCTGGGAACACTCACCAATGTAATCGTTGGACTTGCCGATGTCATAGTCCCAGACTGAGATGTCCAGGGACTTCTTGGCCAGGTCACTGTGTTTGATATCGTAGAAAAACTCCTGGATGCAGCAGGTGAAGACATGTGATTGAGAGGGTGCTCTGGACCCCTGGCATCAGGGACTGAGGCTGAGCCCTAGGGGCTCGCGGGCGGAAGGGCACAAGAGGACCTTCCCACTCTGCACCTGACAACCTCTGTTCAACAAACACTCTATTATAAAGTCCCTCCAGCCTGTTATTCTCTCTTCAAGGACTCTCTGATACTGGGGAGCCTGGCAGGGTTTTTCTAAGAGAACTGGTCCTGGTCAAGTTAGCTTGAAGGCAAATGTTCATGAACTCAGTCTTTCCATTCCAGTAGCTTCTGAAGTGGGTATACCCCTCTCTCCATCATTTAGAGATTAAGGGTAATTGAGGGGACTGATACTGATTTGAGGGTTAAGTGCTTATGTTTCCAGACAATCTCATCTTTTACATAACTCTTCTGCTTAATTATAAAATTCATTCACATTCATCATTAAAGCAAATAAGAAAAAACCCCAAAACTTGTAATTTAACTATAAGAAAACCACTGTCAACCTTCTCCATGTGTGACCACATTGATATTTTTTAATTTTAATATGAACATTAATTTGAACATTATTTGAAATATTTGATTATGTGAAATATAATATGAATATACCTTTTTATGGCTATCTTTTCCATTTTATGACATATAGTAAAACCAACTTAACATGTTAGCAAATATTTTTCTATATCGCCATTTTAATGGCTTCATTTTAATAGCTGTGTGGCTATACCATAACCTACTGCCCAATAGTTGAGTATTTAGGTTGTTTCCCATTTTCCACTATTATAATGATATGATAAAAGGCATCCTTGTAGGTAAATCATTGTGCAAATACACTATGATGTTTTCAGGATAAATTTCAGTGTTTTTCTGAGTTTGTAAAATTTTAAGAGAGGGAACAGTGGGTGTATATTATGGTGCCGTTTGTGTGTAATAAGAAAGCTGGCCACACATTTATTTGCTTTGTGTATACATAAATCCTGGAAGTAGACAATATTCTGGCTTCAGAAGGGAAGAAGGTTCTGGGGAGGGAGGAGCGTTTTGACTTTGGTACTTTTGGAATTTTCAAGTATCACCTGTTCCCAAAATAAATGGAATTCAAATTTAAAAAGCTGAAGGTTTTTGACAAACTTCCCTTCAGAAGTTGAATCAATTTGCTCTCTCACCCACAGTGTGTACATTTCCTCACCAGCATTGGCTACCAAAATTTTACAATATTTGTGTGCCAATCTGTGATGAGATATGGTGTATGGTTTTGATTCATATTTTCGTTATTGCTCATGAGTTTATTAGCTATTTGGATTTCTTATTTTGTGACTTGTTCAGATTCCAGGAAATGGGGCGGCAGGACAGTAGTAACTGGTTCCTTACTCAAAGTTCATGAGTCAGAGTTGGGAAATCGGGGTCCAGATAAAAGAGAGACCCAGAAACAGGACAGGCAGACCTACTGGTCGGTGATTGTTCTGGGCTCAGTTTACACAGAACATTCCCCCTATATGCACATATGGGTGCATGCCCTTTGAAAATGAAACACTACAAAGCTGACTGTATTGTAACTTTCCTTTCCTACTGTACAACATTTGGTAAAAACCAGTGCTAGTTAACTCTGCCCAAACATTCACCAGATATTTCTGGATCCTTAGTATCTGACAGGTTTGTCTAGATAATTGAAATCCATGGACAGCACAAGATGGAAGGATACAAAAATCCTAGAAGCGTAGAGGAAGCAGATCTTCAGGGCTTAACACTTACACTGACTCTTAAGGGATAACTAGGAGTTTGCCAGAGAGGAAAAGAGAGAGGGGAAAGTCCAGGGAAGGGGAGAAACAGGTGCAGAGGTGAGAGATGTGCCAGGTACCTGCATGGAGTTTAGTGTGACTGGAGTGTGACATGGGACAGGGGTGGCTTATGAGTCTGAAAGGGCCTGATTGTCATGCTGTCCCGGCCCGCGGGACGAACGTGGAGTGTGCCGGAGACGCCTGCAGAAATGAGACAAGCAAGAGACACAAAGAATGACCAGCAAGACAGGATGTCTGATCAAGCTGGCGAAGTTTATTGTTTACAGGCTCAATTTATACAAGTAGCAAGTAAGGGGTGGGTCAGGAGATAATTGGACGTTAGCTGGCGCTGGCGGGGAGGTGTTTTCACACATCCTCAAGGTATCCCTATTTTCAGAGTGAGGAGTCTTGGCTCATCTTCAAGGACAAGATATGTTTTTGTGAGCAGATAACTTCCAAGGACTGCACCGGTTGCTCTCAAGCTTGTGCTTTCCCATGCTGCGTTCAGACGTGGGGGAAGGGACATAGCCCTGGCTCCCAACATCTCCCCCTTTTTTCTTTAATAAAATAACCAGCCTAACTCAGACTGGGTCAAGGTATGTGCCTGTCTTAGGTTGTATGGTTGAAGTAAATCCTTACCCGTCATGGGGGTATAGTCCTCTGTCGACCACTCCCTGTCTTAGGTTGGTATTTACCATTCAACCATATCTTACCCGTCACTGGCTACCATACTTGACTTTAGATCTTATGATTTACAAGTGGGGGGGCCATCTGCAATTTCAAATAATGCAGGTCTCTTAAGGCTTGTTGGATGAGTTTCCACATGCTGCAAAGGACACAAGGCCCTAGTAACAGCAATAGAAGACATAAAATGCTTAGGGTTAAGAGAGGTGTGACAGCGTGCCAGACACTATTCAGGGGTTCTCTGAACATGTCGAAAGACAGACATAACTTGAATATATATATAGGTTTTAAAAAACTGCTAGTTAAATTGCATATACACATTAACAATAGGAATATAGATACATAACAAAGGCAGACTTACAATTACTAGTTATATCTAATGAAACTAAAAAACTAGTTAAATAGCTTAGGCATTTGTAAAAACTTATTGACAATATGATGGATATCATCTAATTGATTTTGAGTAGTTTGAGAAATTGAAACAGCACGTTCTTGGAAACTGATCACATCTTACATGCTCTTTTAACATCAGACAGTTCACAGCAGCGCGATTCTGAAGCACTGCAGCTCGCAATTCTCTCAGCTTTTGGTTGAGTTCAGATAATACAGAAGCAGTCAAGTTTGTTGTTTTGCTATATGCACAGGCCAGCTTAGATATCTCTTTCTGCATTCTAATGACAAGTCCAGGAACTGGCAGGAGGAATGCAGCTGCAACTGCAACAGCGACAGGATCTCAAAGTTTCAAGTTTTCATCACAGTCAGATGGCAGAACTCAGAGAAGTCTCTTGTGCTTATATCCAGGTGGTCTATTAGAGCAGGAAGAATGCATCCCACATCACAAACACCTCGATAGTGTGGAGAAAGGGCTTGATATCTTTTGTTATTACGCAAAAATACCCAACTATTTGGAAGTCTATATCTAGAAGACCATTTTACATTGATTGAAGAATTATAATAAGAGGGCACATGAGTACAATTAATACATACACAATCAGTAATTATAGTAATACTAACAGTTAGATTTAATTGGGCATCAGGAGCAAGCACTTTAGGGGTAAGAGTGATGTTTATGTAACATGAAAGATTCAATAATAAAGTTTAGTATTATTCCTTTTGACAGTGCTTTCCAGGTAAATATATATCAGGTAAATAAGCCAAATTAGTCAAATATTTTCTTGATGAAGAAAAGAAATTCTACTGATATGTTCCAGGGGCCCTCTGGAAAATATCAGAGTTAATCGAGAGGTAAAAATACCTTTTTAAATTTTGGTTATGGGAAGCTGTCAAAAGTTTTTAAGGCACTTGCCTAAATAGAATTATAGTTATTAAATAACACTTATTATTTAACTGGAATGATAATAAGAAAGTTTAAAAGCGAATGCAGAAGGTTACATAGTTGTTAACAACACTTAGCTTAGTCTTTTTAATATTAAGATCTTATTTTCTTAAATAACTTGGCAAACTTTAAGAATTTTGGTTACCACAAAAATTCTCAGGCTGTTTGCAGATATATACATTGTTATAGATTAATACAGTATTATTATTAAAAGGTTTATTTGCTACACTTGTTTACTTATTTTTAGCAACTATGCTAAATTACTTATAAAACTTTCACCACACATCAAAGTCAAGCTTTTCTTTAAGTATTTTCTTGGAATATTTAACAGGTAACATCAACTTAAATGACTTTAAGTAAACTTTGGCAGCTAATAACTATAAAGACATGTCCATTTCAGTTAAGCTTAAATTAGCATTAATGCATAATATTTTTTAATTAGATTTTCTGGAAGTTTTAGAATGCCCAATTTTCACAAGCGCATGTTTTTAAATCAATTTTATTAATACCCTCCGGAGGTGGAAAATATATATATTTTTTTACACACTTAGACACACAAACATACAGACCGAGACATAATGACTACAGTTAGTAACACTCTTCATACAAATACATATACACAGACAAACTGACATAAAGATTTGAGTTTCTAATACTCAATGGTCTTCTTTCTTCTTAGTTTATTTGATGAAAAGTACTTCAGTTTTCAAGAATACACTCTAAAGGCAAGCAGTTTACATAACTGGGTTAAGGTTTAGACAGCCCCAGACTAACAGGGCCGATGGAGGCTCTGAACTGATAGGGACTATGTGTGTCTAGGGGGCTGGAAATGAAATGCAAGTACAATTCTAGCTCCAGTCATTTAAAGCCAGGCTGTATTGCAGAAGATAAATTTCTTCTATCTCAGGGAGTTTAGTTTAAGACTTCTCAATTCTCAAAGACAGTGATGAACTTAATAAATAGAATAGATGTTCACTAAAAGAATTCAGAAAACTAGCTCTACATTGTAGCAGTTCATGGAACTCTTGACTATCCTCTTCCCTTGTGGCAAAATATATTTAGCTGCATAACATTATATTGCATACTTCTTTCAGGGGCCAAGCCTCTCTAATCAGAGTTTGTACTGGGGCCAGGTTTGTGTGCAGAAGATAAGATACTTCTTTTTAGAGTTTAGGGATCGAATTGCTCTCAGTTAGTTTTCCTAGTTTTTTCTGCCTGAGCTATTGTCATTCCTCAAGAGGCCCCTGCCTGTCTGATAAATCCAGGGACTGTGTGACTTTTCGCTACTAGAGCCCTGATCTGAGTCACAAGCTTGTTTGGCTTCCCTGGGGCTGCTGAGGAGGTTTTGGGATGTAAGTTATGTGAGTCAATTTGGAGAGCTCTTGATCTAAATCACGGACGGCCTGCAGGAGTTGAATCTGCTCTTTTCTGTTTTTGACCATGTGCCTGAGGACTGAGAGGTCATTTGTCATATGCAGACGCTCGCGGGAGAGAGTTGATGAGGCAGGGAACACTTGGTCAAGGACAGGGAAATGATAAGGTGGTGGTGGGAGGAAGGGAGGCAGGCTTACCAGGTGGGCTTATAGTTGAAGGGCGGGACGTAGTGGCAGGGATGGGCGGGGCGGCATGAACAATAGCAGGGCTTTTTGATGGCCAGTCAGAATTATTATGGCGCGCTGCCCCTTCCTCTAGCGTGGTCTCATCAGCGGGACTAAGGGGCTCATCAGGGTTTAAGTCGATGAGAGTAGGGTAAATACTTGGGGGAGAAATAACAGGATCGGCAGAACTATCAAGGGGAGGGGACGGAGAAAGAGGCTCAATTGTTGGCAAGGGCGGGAGCTCGCTTGGGTCCTGGGAGGGGTTTGTAACAGGATCTGAAGGGTGTGTTTTAAAAGAAGGGGAAGCTGGCCGGGAGGCTTCGGAAGGGGGATGGGAGCGGGATTTTTGCTAGGGAGGTAGTAGCGGAGCCTTTAGGAGGGAGGTGCCACCAGGCTTTAAGGGCTGCGTTTTGGACTTGAGCTAAATGGCCTGGGGGGAAGGCTGCTTGGGCTTCATTTGTTTCATAGGGGCTTCGCCCAAGCAGTTTATCTCTTGTCCATGCGCGTGAAGTTTTACTTTCACTATTGCGCTGCGCAATCTCACAGCAATTTTCTACAAAGTCAGTGCGCCATAAAACATACTCTCCTCCTGACAAGGCGGCTCGAGCTAGGGAAAGCCAGTCATTAGGAGTCAACCACCGGTCACTCAGGCTTTCAATTAAGGCTAATGTAAAAGGAGCTGTGGGGCCATAATTGGTAACAGCTGTTTTTAAGTCTTTTAAGTGTTTAAGGTTAAGGCGGCAGTATTTCTGGGCTTTAGCTGGTTTTTCTATACGATCACCAGACTCTTCCAACATTTATGATTGATAGTGCCTTCGAGGGGAAACCAGGGGCAAGTCTCATGAATAAAGGAAAAAAATTGTCTAAGATCTTTTCTTTTAACCCTTACTCCTCGTGTCCTGAGGGACTCCCTGAGTCCGCTAAGAAATACCTCATGGGAGTTCAGTGAGTTGCCCATTCAGACGGCTGGGATTTCAACTCTATGTAACTTGGAATTATACTAGTGCAGCCGCAACCACGCCAATGTTCTGAACTACTGGAGGCACTCTCATCAGCTCAGGCGAGCCCTTGCTTACGTAGGACAGTCGGCAAGTATAATCCGCTTGCTCGGACCCTCTAGGGCAGGGACTCTGTAGTCAGAGTCCCTTGTGCAGGCCCTAGAGGTGAACGACCATTAGCCCAAAGTAAGCACAAGGTTTTCAGAGAGGAACAACCAGAGGACAAAACAAGGAATAAATCGCGGCAGCAAACTAGAGGGAGGGGATCAGTGAGAACTCACAAGAGGTATTTAAGATGCTTGCTTGGGTGATGCGTCTACTCACCTCTCCGGGATCTGTATTACGGACGGGTGATCCGCAGTGATCCTCAACGCAGAGTCCACATCAGGTCAATACCTGTGTGATGACTCAGAAGAATGCCTGGCCAGGGCTTCCGAGCAGACGTTTCAGCAGGAGTCCCAGGGCCCCACGTTGGGCGCCAGTTGTCCCGGCCCGCGGGACGAACGTGGAGTGTGCCGGAGACGCCTGCAGAAATGAGACAAGCAAGAGACACAAAGAATGACCAGCAAGACAGGATGTCTGATCAAGCTGGCGAAGTTTATTGTTTACAGGCTCAATTTATACAAGTAGCAAGTAAGGGGTGGGTCAGGAGATAATTGGACCTTAGGTGGCGCTGGCGGGGAGGTGTTTTCACACATCCTCAAGGTCTCCCTATTTTCAGAGTGAGGAGTCTTGGCCCATCTTCCAGGACAAGATATGTTTTTGTGAGCAGATAACTTCCAAGGACTGCACCGGTTGCTCTCAAGCTTGTGCTTTCCCATGCTGTGTTCAGACGTGGGGGAAGGGACATAGCCCCGGCTCCCAACATCATGCTAAGAAGTCAGGGAGCTGTTGGGTTGGACAAATGGGTGAAAAATTCAGATTTGTGTTTTAGAAAGCTCACACTTATGTGGAAGGATAGACCAAACACAGGAAGTGAGTCAGCAGTCTACTGCAATTGTCCAGTCATGAAATGCCTGATGAGCAACAGTGAGAACAGAGGAAGGAGTCCACTCAGTGGGTATCTAGGTAGTGGCTTTAGCAAGACTCCATGCACTGGATGGACCTGTGGAGTGGGAGACAGGGAGAGGGCTGTGATGGCTGAGTAGATCATGCCCCATATATTTCCTCAGATTTCAGTATTATTGACTATTAGAACTAGTAATGATATTGGAAATGACTTAATTGAATCTCTCTCCAAATGCATAGATTATGACATTCTTAATCTATGGCCTTTTATTTTAGGCTTGATACCCTCTGGTGACAAGGGACTCATTACCTGTCCTTTAGCTAATTCAAGCTGACCCGTGAGAGAAAGCTCTTTCTGATGTGCTTCACAGCATTCTAGCAGGAAATTCGTCCCTCTCTCATGTAAAGGAAATACCCCAGAGCACGACAAAAATGGGGCAGTCTTACCTCATTAAACTCGGGATTCAAGGTTTTCTTCTTAATTTGAGTCTTGTGTTTGGCTTACTTTCCCATGTCTGGTTTCAGCCACCTGAGAGAAACATGAAAGGCTATTATGGATGAAGTTAAATGAATAAGAACAGCTCCTTGATTACCCCTGTGTGGGCATGATGACTGGCACATAGTAGATGCTAATAAAACATTTTCTGGCCAAATAAATAAAATGGGCTAAAAACTCCTAAGAGTTGGAACATTTGGAATCTGAGTCAAACTGCCACTAGCTGCGCGACTTCTACCAACATGAGTGTAACTTTGGCGTGCCTCACTCTTCCAATCTGCAAAGAAGGCAAATATTTCTTCCTCATCCACAGAACTGCTTTTGAAGATAATTTTAAGGAAGGAGCCCAATAGGGGAATTGGAAGGTACCAAGTGCTGAGAAAAGAGGAAGGTAAATTTTGACTTACAAAATCTTTATTTGATCTTAAACTTATTAATGGTTTCCTGTTTCCTTCTCCACAACATCCGCCAGCACAGCTCTTAGGTTGGCAACCACAATAACTCTACTTCTGGAGAGAATGGGTAGGTGGAAGAAGGTATGGTGGGGAGAATTATTTAAGAAAAACAATTTGCACGTGGCTGGGATTTGATGCAGTGCAGGACAGCAGCCCATGAGCTGATTTTCTCTAGTGGACTGTATGAGAAAACAAAACCAAATTACTCCTAGAAATCACACTCATCCCTGACATGTGTGTTCTTCTGTTCACTAACTCCTCATTCAAAGAAAATCTGAAGCAAAGCCCAGACTGGCCTGATTTTTAGTCATGACCTTAAGAGAAGTGTTGCTTTCTCTTAGCAGTGGTAGTGGAGGGAGGGAGTGTCTCACAGGCTGCAGAGAAGATTATTAACACTCTTTGCCATGAGTAAGCATAGTGATGGTAGTTATTTATAACCATAATGGCTATATTTATTGAGCATTTACTGTGCACAAGACTCCACTACATAGCACCTCCCAGATCTCCAACTGCAGCAGTGAAATTGACTGACAGGCTGCCGGGCTCTGAATGCACCACTATGTTCTCACCTGGCCATGCGCCCCATGGGCCGCTCTCAGCCAGCCTGAGCCAGCAGGGACAGTACGCAGCACAATTTCTGGGACACGCATGGCTCCTTTGATGCTCTATTTCATCCTCAAGGATTCCCAACGCCCCACCTGCAACTTCCTCAGAACTGCACCACAACCTAAGACCCCTGCGCCCTAACTGCCCTCCCTCCCACTCCTCCAGGGGGTCAGACCTGCTCCAAGGCCTGCTGTCCCTGTAGTTCTCCTCAGGCTCCCTTCTGACTTTGCTTCACAGGCATTCTCCCCAACAAAGCTTTTGTATATCTCATCTAGTCATTGTGTCTGATTGGAACTAATGACCAATCTTACTCTTCCCACTTTACAGATGAGGACACTGAGGCCCAGAGATGTTAAGGCACAAACCCAAGGTCACACAGCTAGAGAATATTGATGACAGTTGGATTTGGGATCCAAACCTAGATACAATTCTAGTTGTTTTTTATGTGATAGCTCATGTTTGCCTTATGCCCATTCTTGGAAATGAGTGGAACTATTGTCTCAGTTTTACCAATGAGGAATCTAAGGCTCAGAGGGGTTAAATAACTTGCTTATAGTGATACAGCTGGAAGGTGGAAGAGATGGACATTGGGCTCCAGGTCTGCTTCAGTGGTGGCCACAAAAATGTGCCTGGTGGGCCTCCAGCTACAGGAGCAGAGCCGACCAAGGCCCCAGCTGCTGTGGATGGGAATCCGTGCCATGCTGGTCCCAAGGCCATGCTCCCAGCTGATGACTGGATGTGGCAGGCCTACTATGGCAGGCCCACTCCTAGGAGACATGGGACCTGTATGATGGTCACTTTTGGCCAGAGGACTCCCTGATGGCTTTGCTGACCTTGTGTCCAGGATGCTTCCACCCCCACCCCTCAGGGCCAGACTTGGGTTGTGATCTCTCAGCTCCCCCACTTCCCCAGCTCTCTCCCTACTTTCCCTCACACAGGCATTTCCCCAATAAAACCCTTGTCTCTTTAAAATCTTCTCACAGGCTCCAAAATAATACAAAACAAAGTCTTTCTTGCTCAACATGATGAGATTACTGGAATAACCCCAAAGTCTAAGGCCTTTGCACATCTCCAGACTGAATCTGGAAATAGCTGCCTGGGTGGTGGGGCTCTGAACTGCTGAATGGGGTGTATTGCTGATTTCAGAGGGCTACAAATGGGGTTATTGCAATCTTGCTGACCATCCTTCTCCAACAGGAGAGGACAGAGCCACAGAACTCATGAGCAAGTGATATGCCAGTCTGTCTGAGACGCCACACTCCCCTCTAGCCAATTCTGGGCATTGTCTCACTGTGTGACCTTGGGCAGGTTTGTTCCCCTCTGGACCTCAGTGTGCAATGATCTTAGGGAGGCTCTCTGGTTCTCCCTTTGCAAGTATCTAGGACCCCCTCTAGGGCCCACTCACAGTCCAAAGGCATTGACTTACAGCTTGACTAATGGATCTGAGTAGCCATTGGCATCCATGGCAGCCAAGTGCACGCAGCGTATGATGCCCACAATGAGGCCTCCCTGCTGTGTGCTGTACATGAGGGACACCAGGATCTTGCCATGTTCCTCTATGTCACCAATACGCTCCACCTGCTGCAGTAGGAGAAGAGGGTGTGTGGGCCTAGGAATAGGAGGGGGCCAGGCAATGTGGCGAGCCCTAAGGAGGAGCCTATGGCTAGTGAAATCAGCGCCATGGACTGCAAATGGTGAAAGCCAAGGGCACCAGTCCAAGGCACATGGGAACCATGGATTTAATCTGACTTAGACATGGATTGGGCCCAGACTCTGGTCATAGGCTGAGCTTGACCCTGGTCCCAGCCTGACTCTGAGCTCAGATGCCCCTGACCCAACCAGTCTTCTCACAACTACAGTTCCTGGGGTCACACAAGAGACCTGGACCAAGGGCAGGGATGTGCAGCCCAACTGCACCCTCTGCCAGACACACAGCTCAAATAGCCTGCTCTCCATCCCCATGGAGGGAGCATGGCACTGCTGCGCTTCTGCAAAACTGCCAGCAGAGCTTCTGCCAGCAAGGCCGAGAAATCAGGGTGTGTCCCAGGTGGTGGCATTGGGGGTGAGGCTTCCCCCACTTGGCGGGGAAGAGAAGAGTGCCCACCTGTTCCCATGTTCTAATCCGCGGGCAAGGGCACCTCATGGTGAACCACCAGTGGTTTGGGGAGAAGGAGTGGGGATGTGGCCAGGGAGGGAGAAGACATGGAGATGCCAGACTTGGACTCTGATGCCCACTCATGCTCACCTCCTCCTCGTAAAGGGCCGTGCCTCAGGCTGACCCGGTGGTCCCGGCACGCTTCATCTTAGAGGAAGGAAAAAGAAAGGGAAGATAACAATGTTGCCTGTAGGGCTCAGCTCCCCACACCAGAACCCCTTCGCCCCTCATTAGTATCCATAGCCATGAGGGCAGGTTTCTCAAGCATCTTCTCTAGCTTTCTCCCTTTTAGCTAACATGTATGATGCTTGCCATTTGGCAGATCTTCTTAACGCTCAGCAACCTATGATGAGGGTGTATTGCTGTCCCCATTTCACATGTGAGGACACTGTGGGTCAGAACGGTTAAGCCACTTGCCCAAGGTCGCACACCAGCAAATGGCAGAGTACTGCCTACACAAAACACATAAGATTTCATCTCTGGTTCAAGAGACACAGAGGTCTTGGGGTCTGGCCCACCAGGTGCTTCTTCCCCCATGGTTCCTAAGGTCCTTCTGTAAATACAATGTGAAAACCAGTGGTTAAATCCAGCCTCCCCACTTTAGAGATGAGGAAAACTGGGGTCTACAGGGGATAGCACAGCACTTATAAGACCCCTGTCCCTGGGGGGGTATATGGGGGGAGTTGATGGTGTGAAGGGTAAGGGCAAAGAGCAAACAATGATGGTCAGCAGAGTCCTGTGGCCACTGCAGGCTTCTGCCTGTCCTGCCACCTCTGTGCTTCGGGGCTTGGCTGCGTCTGTCGCAGCACGATGTGCCAGCTCAGGAGCTGACAACCCAGGTGGGGACCTGGCCAACGTCCTGACCAACTGGACAACTGAGTGAGGGAAGGAAGGGGAAGCCTGAAGAACCAGCTGTTACCAGGCAAACACTCAGAGGAAGTGCTTCGTCCTAGGACTGTCTTTAATGATTTATTTGGAGCCTGGCACACAGTGCGAATTCCTCCTTGCAATTTTCCTTGTTGTGTCTTGTTCCTTTGTCTGTGCTATAAAAATATGGTGTGGTACCCAGATATTCCATCATCATGCCGACCATCTGGTGGGGAAATGCTGCAGGGTTTCCCCTGCCCCCCATCTTCCTGGTGGGAGGCTGGCCTGCTGCCCGGGGGAGTGGCCTCACTGGTGGTTACAGGAGAGCTGGGCTCTGGCAGGTGCCCAAGAGCACAGCCACTGGCTTGTGGTATGACCTGGGCAACAATTCCCTTCTTTAGGCCCAAGTTGGCCCAAATGTAAGAAAGGAGAGGTTGGATTATCTCTAAGCAGATTGCTGGGTCCCACCCTATTGCACTAAGTTAGAATCTCCAAGGAGATCCCCACAAATCTTAGTTTGTAAAGCTCTGATTTTGAAAGTTCCAGGTGATTTTAAGGTGCAGTGCAACTGGAGAACCTTTGGTTCTTGTTCTTTCTCAAAAGGCACGTGCCACATCTAACAATAATGGCTTTAATGCTTTACGTGTGTCCTCTCATATCAGTCCTGAAAAGACCTTCTGAGGTTGGAAGTATATTATCCCATTTTATGGATGAAAGCACTGAGGCCCAGAGAAGTTAAGTAATCTGACTCAGGATACACTGTAAGTGCTAGAGCCTGGGATTCAAACCCAGGGAGTCTGGCTTCAGAGCCCATACTCTTAATCACAGTGCTATTCTGCCTCATGTGTAGCTCCATGTGCTTTATGACTTCATGACTGACAATCATGGGTATGACAGTATCATTTCCTATAACAACAGTTAATTTATGAGTGCTGATTATGTACCAGTTTCTGATATGTCTTTCACACAACACCCCCTCCATGAGGCAGGTACTATTATAATGCCCATTTTATAAACATGAAAACCTGAGGCTCAGAACAGTTATCAAATCCAGAGAGTGGGGAAGTGGCAACGCTGGAAGTTGAACCCACACTGTCACACCATACTGCTCTTCCCCATTTACTGAAGAGTACTCCGATGTTCAGAGAAGTGATGCTAACACAGGGTGGAAACAGGCAGAGCCAGGATACAACCCTGATGCTCTGACCTGAAATCGTCACCCTCTTCTCAACAGCTGCCACGGCCCTCTACTGTCAGGCACTCTGCAGATCTACCACCCCAGTTACAGGCCTAAGGAAGGGAGCACCCCTCCAGATTCTTCTCCCCAATCAAACCCTTGGGGCAAAGGCACTCACGGGGATCACCCGCTCCAAACGGATATTGAAATTCTTCCTCTGGTTGGGCTTCAATTTCTTAAGGGAGAATCTGGTCTCACCAATAAACTCGTTATGGCCAAATTTGTCCTCATCACAGACAGAGATCCTGTGATTGAAATAGGGGTGGGGAGAAAAAGAAGAGCCTATTACTGTGCTTCAGTTATGGACCAAGAGTTATGATTGATGCTGGCAAGGAATGGATAATGTGCATAGGAATATTTCAATTTCCTATTCAATGAGCACTAGGCCAGGTACTTTTATTTCCTCTATTGCAGTATAACTTATAAGCACAAATCTTAAATTTATAGTTTGCTGAATATTTGCACATACATATATACCCATGTAACCACCAACACCCTGATCAAGATATGGAACATTCTGATATCCAGAAGACCCTCAGAACCCTCCTAGTCACACCTCCCCTGAAAATAATCACTACCTTGGCCTCTGGCAAGAGTAAGTATCTTATTTTTGACCTTCATATAAATAAAATCAGATGGCATACACCCCTTTATGTTTGGCTTCTTTTGCTCAACATTATGTCTGTGAGATCCATCCATGTCTATAGTGATTTGTCCTTTTTATTGCTGTATAGTATTCCATTATATAAATATGCCACAATAATTCTGCTGCCGATGGGCATTTGGTTTGGCACTATCTCTAGTTTTGACCTATTGTGAATGAAGCTGCAGAGGGACATCCCTGTTCCTGTCTTTTCATGTGCACATGTACATATTTCTCTTGGGCATCTGACTAGGCATACAACTGCTGAGTTTTGGACTACACTTAATTTTACCTTTGCTATAACTTTTCAGCTTTCCAAAGTGATTCCACCAATTCCTCTCCTACCCACAGTCTCTGCAGGTTCTGACTGCTCTTCATTCTGACTTCGATTTTGGCAGTTTTTAATTTTAGCCTTTCTGAGTGGCAATAGTATCTCGTTGTTGTTTTCATTTAAATTTTCCTGGTGATTAATCAGGCTCAGCTCCTTTTCATATACTTTATGGCCAGTTGAGTATCATCTTCTGCAAAGTGAGGTTAGGAACTGAGCTGACCTCTTCTCATTTAATTTTTCATCCCCCAAAACATCTGGGTTTCTGACTTTGGAGAGAAGACTGGGGCCAAGAGAGTTTGAATCATTTTTCTCTAGTAAGAGGCTAGGGAACCAGTATTTCAATCCAGGTCCCCCTGAATCCTAGAATACTATATAGTCTTTTGTTATTCACCCTGTATGCATTGAGTAGAACAGAGACACAGAAAGGACAGGTCATGAGGAAGGTCCTCCAAGGAGGCCAAAAGGACCAGTCAAGGTGTGGTAGTTCATCCTCACATATATTAAGTGGAAGAAAGGACTTGTTCTCCCAAGGCATGGGAGGCAAATCTGGGGGACAGGCAAGAACTCATGGCATCTCATTCCTTTGCCATCAACATTTGTTGAACAACGTTCAAAGTTCTGAAGGTCCAGAATACCCCATGGCTGAGCCCCTTTATATACAACTAGAGAAAAGAGTTGTCTCTTCTCAGCTGGTGGGGGTGTAACCAGTACATCCTCCTGTAGGGCAATGTGTGTCCCAAGACCTAAGAATAATCACCATTTTTGACCTAAGCATGCCACTTCTGGGAAGTTATCTCCAAGACATAAGAAGATAAGTGAACAGAATTTAACCAGAATGATGTTTATCCCAGTATTGTTTATAATTGTGAAACAATTTAAATTTAAGCAGTTTAGCAGAAATAACATAACTACTCTATCATGGGAGGACTACTTAAGAAAATTATGAAATAGCCATAAAAATGTAACTGTATGTATGAGAAATAGTGTTGCAATCAGCCATCAGGGAATTGCAAAACCACACTGCACCACCACCACACACCCACCAGAACAGACAACATGAACAAGTGTTGATGAGGATGTGGAGCGACCGGAACTCTTATACATTGTTGGCAGGAGTATAAATCAGTACAACCCTCTGGGAAACTGGCAGTCTCTACTAAAGCTGAACATATACATATACTATGACTCAGCCCCAACATTCCTAGTGTGCACCTGTGCTTCAAGACACAACCACTAGAATGTTGCTAGAAGCACTACTGGAACACCCCCAAACTGAAAACTAACCAAATGACCACTAAGAGTAGAATGGGTGAATAAAACTGTGGTATAGTCACACAATAGAATACCAAACAGTGATGACAGTGAACAACCTACAACTACACACAATAAATGGGATGAAAAACATAGATACAATATTAGATGAAAGAAGACAGACACAAGAGTCGTGCTGTATGATTTCATTTATAGAAAGTACAAGACCAGACTAAATTAATTTGTCCTGTTAGAAGTTAGGACAGTGAATATCCTGAGGGGAGGGGCCTCACTAGATGGAAGGGCACCTGTGGGGGGCTTCTGTGGTCTGAGAATGCTCTGTTCTCCAATTCTAGTGTGCTCAACAGTGTGAAAATCCATCCATCTGCTCATCAATTTATCCCTTTTCATGTGTGCATTTTTCTAAATGGATGTTACACTGCAATGCAAATGTTTACTTAAAATAGTATTGCAGCTGGTGGGAATGTACTTGGAACAGCCCATTTGAAAAGCACTTTGTGTGACTTGTAAAATTAAAAAAAAACACCAACAACAAAGTATCCTATGATCCAGTAAATGGTCCTCTTTGATTTCTACCCTGAGGAAAAGCCCCTACATAAGGCAAGGAAGCATGAAGGACGCTCGCTGCAACTTCATGGTAAGAAAATTGGAAACAACCTAAATGTCCATCCACAGGGATCTGGCTGAATAGATTGGTAAGACAATTACATAACATTTAAAAACATGTCAAACAATGCCATATATCATTTATAGATGCATAATTACGTAGCTAAAGTATAAGACATGCTTGGGAATGATACCTATAAAGCTCAGTATGGCGTTTAGCTCTGGGAAGGGGAGGAGGAGGGGGGATGGAATACCCAAGAGGAGCTACAACTTGCATCTGTAGCACCTTATTCTTTAGAAAAAAAATAGAGCTGAAGCACAAACAGGAAAATATTGAGTTTAATTTTTAAAAACCTGAGTAATGAGTTCATGGATATTTGTTTTATTATGTTCTGTACTTTTCTGTATATTTATAGCAATCATAAGACATTAAAAAAATCTATGATGGATCCATTCTGTGGAATACTCTGAAGTCCTTAAATATTAGCTAGATATTTCTCATGGCTGTAACGCCAAGACATATTGTTAAGAAAGAAGGCAAGATCCAGATACATGCAGCCTAATTGTTCCTACATTGTAAACAACAGGATAACTATTTATCCACTCACAGAAGGAGGAAGCAGGCCCAGGCTGAGGGAGGGGACAGAAATTTAAAAGGAGATTTGCCTCTGCTATAGTTTTTTGCAAGAAGAATGCATTCATTTATTACTTATGTAATTAAAAATGCATTTAATACTGCATTATAGAAGAATATGAAATGGTATCAATATACTGCTAAGAAAGACAGGCTAATTAATAGGATGGTTCATTTTTGTAAACCCTCAATTTATAAGAAAGGTTTGCACATATACACACACAGACACACACAAATATAATAAATACAAAAAACCCAGATGTCCAGACACCAAGCTGTTAAGAGTCTTAGTTATCAGCATTTCCAAGAGTTTCTACCAGAAATATATATTGTTTTTTTTGTAGAATTGAAAAAGAAAGAAAATACTACACAGAGCTGTTTGAAAGAGCGGCCCCCGGGAGCCACCCATGCCTCGGTCTGCCCCGCCTTGGTGCCCTCTCCGCCCACTGGCCCAGCAGGTACCTCAGGGTCTTCCTCTGCATGTCCTCTTCCGTGATACCGTGGTAGACAAGAGTCTCATTCCAGACAGGGTTCTGGGTGTTCTGCAGGGTTTTTGTATGAAGCTTGTTGGCCTACAGCCCAGAGAGATGAACAGACACCTGCCTCAGGAGGGAGCCAACCCCGCAGCTACATTCCTGGGGCTCTTTTGGGTTGGATGGGTGGGTGATTGAGGAGTCCCCTCCCCTGAAGAGCATCTAGCAGCTCAGTGCTCTGAAATGCATTTTCTCAGCGAGTGGGGGGCAGGCATCCTCTAGGTGATGGCTACAGCTGTCACCAGTGCTGGCCACAGGGCCACCCCTCCCTCCATGCACTGGGCTCTCTCTTTAAACTTTCCGTTAAGATTAGAAAATAGAGACATCTTCCTTTGAGGAAAAAATATCATTTATAAGCCAGGAAGGCAGAAATAAGAGTCAGCCATGCGTAGGCAATTAAGGAACAATCTCTAGGGATACTGGGACAGCTCCTTTCACTTCCCCAAATAGCATTATCCATGCTTGAAATTCCTTAGATGGGGCAGGCAAAATATCTTTGCCCTCCCTATCTTTGTCCTTTCATTTTTCTCTGAGAGAAAGGCTAGAAAGGCAGCATACCCAGAAGAGGTGGCCAGGTGACAAATCTTATTCATATTAACATGTAAATGACTCCCTGGATTCTTTGGCAATGCAAGTTTGGACTTAGGAGTGAGCAAAGGAGAAAGTCTCAAGGACAAACAAACATCACTAAGGAGTTCGAAGGAGAGTGGCCAAACACTTCACAGTTTGACCAATGCCAGGGGAGGTACTCTTTCCTTGATGCAAACAGTGAAAGAGAGAATGTGTGTGTGTGTGTGTGTGTGGTGTGTGTGTCCTCTTTTGTCTTATGGGGCATTTCATACTTGCAGGGATTTTTAACAGGCATTTTCCTAAGATCATGTGCCAAGAGGTCTTGTGGTCTTCTTTGTTTTTAAGACATCCGTGCCAAATTAACACAATAAAACAAAAAATAAAATCCAAGAATGCATACTTCCATTTTCAGTCATGTGTTCTGCATGGGCTAATCCAGAGAGAATTACCCCCACTTTCCCTCCACAAAGGAAAGTATTATCAGCAAGTGAGTAGGAAGGGGGTACATTTTTGCTCAGTAATAGAACATTATCTCAGGTACTTAGCCCTAAAATCTGGAGAGGATTAGTCATTTCTATTGAAAAATGAGGAACCCTTGGTTCGGGCATAAAATGGGTAGGTGGAGGTGGGTCAGGGTCAGCACTGGGGAGCCACTGAAGATATTTGAGCAGGTGAAGGGCATAATCAATGCATCTGCTTCTCTCTTGACCTTTGGCTGCTCCCTGGATCCCAAGTTTCTGGGTCAGAGAAGTGGGCAGAGCCATGGCCCCTGAAGGACAATGACTGCTGGCCTCCCCCTGACCCCTTGTAAGGACTTTGCCATCAGGGAGGACGCGGGAACTGGGGGCAGATAGGGCCATTTTAAGCTCTGAGCTGGGAACCTTGGGTGCCAGCCAGGGCTCATGTGTCCATCCTGCTGAGAGGCCCTGGCCATATGGTACCTTGCTGGCTCCCGACAAGAGGTGCAGCTTAACATAAGGATCGGCCAAGCCATTGGAATCCATGGGCTTCAGTCCCTGCAAGAGAAAAGGCAAAAGCTGTGGTGTGAGAACCTTAGGAGGGCCAGGTGCTCAGCTGTCGTAAGCAATGGCCACGGCCCCTGGCACTTGTCCTGCCCATCAGTCCACCCTGCATGCTTCCTCTTCCAAGGAGAAGGAAGGGAAATACAGTGTCTGGGAAAGAGCTCTGGAATCAGGCAGACAAGGGTGAAAGCCTGGCCAGACACTTGCTGCTGTGTGACCTTTGCCAAGTTTCTTCACCTCTCCGAGCCTCATTTTCCTTACCTGTCAAACAGGATGAGAACAGTATCTGCTTTGTGGAGTGGTAAGACGTAAACACAGCTTCACCTGTAAAGTGCTGGGCACTGGGCCTGGCACACGGTAAGTCTAACCCTTCAAGGCTGGACTGTCACTACTAGGATGTGGGAAGCTGTCTCAGAATAGGAAGGATGGGAGAACAGGAGGGGCTAGGGAAAGGAGGCCTGATTCTAGCCCTGGCTCCTGCACTGTGTCTGAGACCATATGGTGGGGATCACAATCTCTGCCTGGCCTGCCTCATGGGGCTGGGATGGGGCTCAAATGAAGCACTGGTGGGGAAGGGAGTCTGTCAGGGACATGAATTAAGCTGGGCTTACTAATATGAACAACTCCCAAATTCCAAGGGCTCAGATATACTCTGTCCATCCCTCTGTGCCCAGGCTCAGGTAGGTGTCCCAGTGTCCCACCTCTGGGCTCCCACCGTCCCCTGCCACCCCACTAACCCAAATCCTGTGTATCATGTCCTGTGATCTCCGTGGACCTCAGTTTCCTTATCTGTTCAATGGGGCTGCTTGCAGCCTGCATCCCGGGGTTCTTGGAGGGTCAGATGGAATCTCACCTGTGAAGGGTGCTCTGGCCCAGGTGAGGGTGAGCATGGTTCACTACTACTAGGTGGGGAGGAGGCCACAAGTGGGGCGCAAGGGAGGAGCCGGCAGGGTAGCTTCATGGGGAAGAGCACAGTTCAAATTTCAGGCAAGTCATTTAGTCTCTCTGTGCCTCAGTTTTCCTTCTGTAAAATAGGAATAATTATAGAACTGTGCAAATTGACAGGCATGGTGTATTAAAATTTGAATCACACTGTGTTTGGGGTCTGCTCACTTGAATTTACTGGAATTACTAGCACCCTCTAACATCTCACACCCATCCCACGCTTCTCACCACCATCACCAGCCTAGCCTATAGGCATCTGAGTTTCTGGAGCCCTGTCTCAAAGGGACTGTACTGATGTGGTTCCCCCCATATCTGGATCTGGAAGAGGGGACTGCTAGTGAATGGTTACATACAGAAAGAGAGAGACTGTTACCTCTGGACTCAAATCCAGCTCAAAACCTACCAGCTGTGACCTCAGGCTTTCACTCTCTGAGCCTCAGTTTTCCCATCTGCACAATGGGGCCAATAATGTTCCCCACCTCAGAGGTCCCTATGAAGATGAAATAAGATGCTGCATGCACTTCCCTCCCTGTGTCACTGGAGTGGCGGTGAATGCACCTAAGTGCTTGCCACTGTGGCTGATATATCATAGGGGCTCAATAAATGCTCGCTTGCTGATGAAATAACCTGAGTGTGTTGACCTAGGAGTCACGCTAAGCATTTCGTACCTCACTTATCATCCAAACAGGGACATTTTGTGAGTGAAAGGGGAGCTTTTAAGTATCATAGTGAGGCAACAGGCATAGCTGGGGACCGTCCTACACAAACTAGCCCATGTCTTACACTTAATACTCACAGTCATCCCTATTGACAAGGCTCCATTACTATCTCCAGTTTACAAATGGACATACTGAGGCACAGAGAGGTTAAGTAACTTCCCTAAGTCACACAGCTAGGAGCAGGGGAGCTGGTATTTGATCCCAGGACACCTGGTTCTGCAGCCTTGCTTGTTCTTCTACACGGACCAGACTTGGAGTGGGGGGAAATCCTGCTCAGTCACTTTCTGAGATTTGCACTCATATCATCCAGCTTTTCTCAGGGTCTGGAGTTCAATCAGCTCCCTTCCCCTGAGCCTGCTGCGTGGAGATGCTCTTCCATCCTGGTTTGCCTTTCCCGCCCCCTCGCAGGCCCACATGATGGTCCTTGTATCTGCAACAATGGCCCCCAACTCAGGCTGCTGCTCCAGCTTGACAGCCACATCCACAGAAGAAGCTGTTCGGTGGGCATGTCAGCTGTCAAGTCGGGCTGTCATTGCCTCCCGGCGGCACCTCTGCGGTCCTCTCCAGTGGCTGTAGATGGGGCTGGGCAGATCTGGGCTCTACTCTTGAAGCCTGGCTGCCTCTACTCCTGGGTGGCAGCCACAGTTAAATGAAACCCCTCTGGGATCATCACTGGAGGAAGTACACCCCTAAAGGTAGTGGCCATAGCTAATCCCTGCCCTCTGTCATTTCTGTCATTGTCACAGATAGACAAGGCAATGACAGGAGACAGGCTTGGTAACTCATACCCTCCCCAAGTCCCCCAGAAATGCCAGAGCACCTTGAGTGGGGCCCCCTCACCCACCTTGGCCTTTATGATGGTGCAGTGCAGAGAGCTGTTGTCCTGCTCATAGAGAAGGCTGAACTCCAGGGCACCAAGGGTGGCTGAAGGGGGCAGAGGCAGGTACCAAGAGAACATTCATTCAGTCATTCAACAAACATTTCATGAGCACTTAATCTGTGCCAGTCTGGCCAGTCATTGGGCCTATAGAGGAGAGGAATGCTCAGGGTCTGCTCTGGATACCCCATCCTGGTAGACCCTCTTCTACTTTGGAGCCTTCAACACATCTGGGATCAGTTAATCATTTGTTCAATTGCTCAGTTAACTGTCTTGTTCATGGCTATGTCCACACTGGGCACAATGCAGGGCACACAGTCAGTGCTCACTTACTTGCTGAGTGAATAAATGAGTAATAGCATTTGCTGTTGCCTCTGCCTGGAATGCTCTCCCTCTAGACCCTCACGTGGCTGGCACCTTTCTCATTATCCATATCGCAGGTTAGATGCCACCTCAGAGAAGTCCTACCTAATCAGTGCATCTAAAGCAGCCATCTTCATGGTTATTCACCCTATTTTATTTTCTTCATGGTGCTCTATCTCTATTTGAAATGAACTCAGTGCAATGGTAACTGTGTCTCTCTACTAGAATGTTAGTTTCATTAGATCAGCCATCTTGCCTGTCATTTTTTTGCCTCGGTACCCTAACGTTTAGAATAGTCTGGAGGTACCTAGTAGGTGCTCAATAAAAACCTATTCAATATAGAGATGAGGGAGGAGAATAGAGTTGAAAATGGAGGCAGGCTTGTTAGGAATTGCCAGGACAGATCATAACTGGGGCAGACACAGGCTGGGAGGGTTCATCCGGGCTTGGCAGGTCCGGGAAAAGATGTGTAAGGCAGAAAGTGGGAGCAGGTGTCACTGTTCTGTGTGAAGGACTAGGATGTGGAAAAGCAGAAAAGTAGGATGGCCACAAAGTAGAACTGCTGTGAATTTTGTGGAACCGCCAAGCTAAACCAAGTGAATGCAATTGAACTGTACTCTTTTCAATGATTTAAATAGTAACTTTGATATTATGTGCATTAAAAAATATATATATATACACACACACATATACATATACATATATATATATATATTGCACTAATTCTTTAGAAAGCTGATGTCATTTTGTGAATTTAGTAGCACAAAGTTGTCTTTATAACTTGGTTAATATGCTTATTAGATTTGGCATCTAGGGGGACAGGGGGTGTACAAAGCTATCCCTGGAGCCATTCCTGTTTCCCTGGGAGTGACCCTTGAGGCAACTTTTCCCAGACACCCCTCCGTGAAGTGCCACCTACTTGCTTCATCCCAATCATAGCTGTTGGCTTCCTCTTCGTCCTCCTTTGGAGGTGGGGGCTGGCAGGCGGGGACCCCAGCAGGCTGGGAAGCAGCAGATGCCTGGGAATAGGGGCCTGGAGGGTGGCCTGTGCGGTTCTCCCTGGCTCCAACTGCTGAGTAGCCAACTCCTCCCATTCTGTTCTCCCGTGGTGGGGCAGAAGCCCCTGCATAGCCAGGATCACTGGGAGCCACCTCTGCAGGGGACATGGGAAGAGGCAGCTGAGTCCCTGTGTCTTAACAGTAGCAGCAACAGCTGCTACAGTATTACTATGAGTGAGACCACCCTGTATACCAGGCATTCAGTAAGCCTTGCACCAGAATCACCCAGAGCCCTTCAATGAAGGATCACCACTTCCAGGTGACAGGGCTGTCATATCATGCCGTCATATTCAGTGGTTCTTGGAATGTTGCCTTTGTCAAAGCCACCTAGGGAAGGGTGCAAAAATGCAGGTTCCCGGGCACCACCCAGAATCAGTAGATGATGCAGTGGGGCCTTGGAATCTGTTTTATGACAAGTCACATGAGCTGACTCAGATACAGGCAGAACACAACTCATGGTGGTACTTATCAGTGGTCTTGGCTCTGCAGCCAGACAGCCTTGGTTTGGATCTCTGCTCTGTGAGCTGGGGAAAGTTACTTAATGTCTCTGAGCCTCAGTTTCCTCATCTATAAATGGGAATTATAATACCTGAAGGTACTCAACTAGTAGTAGCTATTATTTTTAACATTACCTAATATATATGTACAGCCTTAAAACAGTGCCTGGTGCATTAGGGAACAACAAATAAGCTGTTGCTGTGGTAATTGATGATGATGGCGATGCACATGTAACATATATAATCATCGCTGTCCCACAGCGTGGTCGTAATATATTCCAGGCCATGTGCTACAGTTTTATATGGGTTAGTTTGTTTAATCCTCCCACAACTCTGTGAAGTAGGTCAGAGTATTATCCCCATTTTAGAGATAAGGAAACTGAGGCTCAGGCAGGTTAAGTAACTTGTCCAGGGCCACACAGCCAGGATATGAAGGAGCAGTGGTGTGAATCCAGACAGTGTGTGCTCTTATCCATTTCATGTGAGGCCATTTTCTGTCTGTCTAATTTTAGTATAGACCATCTGGAGTTGTGGGATGAGAGGGGCCCCTTTGAGCTCATCAGCTAGGTTTCTGGGTGCAGAATGGGCAGAGGTCTGGCACTGTGGGGGCTGAAGTGGGAGAGAGGGAAAGGCATTGAAAGGATACTTGCCTGGTCTCTGATCTGGAAGGCGACCTGCTGGCCCAGGACTCGGTCTGCTGCCTCCTGGGGGTCCTAAGTGGGGAAAAGAGAGAAAGAGGATGGAGCAGAGATGATTGCCCTGGGCTGACCTTCTTCATGGGTGTGGAGACAAGACTGAGGCAGTAGGTGATGTGCAGGGGTATCCAGGGCTGCAGAAATGGTTCCACTGGGGGATTCTGGCGTTGGAAAGTCCTGGGTTCAAGCCCCAATCCTCCCTTCCTCAATTCCCTCTTCTGTAAATGGGGCTGATGATACCGGCTTTTCAATGTTCTCTGGCTGTTCTCAGCCTCTGTGAGGCTGGCAGATGAATGGAGTGACAATCATGTGCAAGATGGAAGGCAAGCTTACACTTTGAGTTTGCCTTGGGTTACCATTGCTACAGTGGCATTAGTGGTCCAGGTGGACTCTTTACAACTACATTTCCCAAAGTGTGGGATGCAAGGGAGAGTCACAGGGATGGGGCATGACATTACATTCAGTGACACAGAGAGAAAGTCATTTCTGTTTCTATTGCCTGTCATTTCTGATTCTGTCATGGAGAAAGTCTCATCTAGATGCCTCTCTGTCTTTAACACCTCTCTAACCATTGCAAATTTCCCTTTTGAACAAAAAAGAACTCAGAACCTTCACCAGGCCAGAGTACTGAGATTTCATTGCATTGTTTTCTTTTCATTATGGTAACTTTTATAATTACCCTCTATAATGGGTTGCCGTTGTGCTCCCTAAAAGATGTAGATAACCCAACCTTACAGTACCTGTTAATGTGACCTTATTTAGAAATAGGGTCTTTACAGATGGTCAAGTTAAGATGAAGTCATTAGGGTGGACTCTAATCCAGTATGACTATGTCCTTACAGAAAACGGAAATGCGGATACAGGAGAGACCTGCCAAGAAGGAAGACAATGTGAAGACTTAGGAAGAATGCCGTCTATGAGATAAGGAAAGCCTGAGGCCACCAGCAGCTAGGAGAGAGTCATGGAACAGATTCTCCTCACAGCCTTCAGAGAGAACCACCGTGCTGACACCTAGGTTTTAGATTTCAGGCCCAGAACTGTGAGACAATGAATTTCTGTTATTTTTAAGCCACCCAGTGCTTCTGTGTTACAGCAGCCCTAGCCAACTAATACACTCTTCTTTATGGCATGAACACTGATTTCCCACTTATGTCAATATAGGTTTCTTTGAAAGTAACAAATTTTTAACTGTACCAACTAGGCATTATTTCTATTGTTTTGCACAGTCCATATTTATTTAGATTTTTGCAAATCATTAATCTCCTTGCTTACCATTTCTTGCTGAATCTCACACTACTCTTCTGGGAACATTGCCTTTTTATAAGACCAATGTCCTTTAAATTTTCTTGAAAGAGAGTGTGTAATAGCAAGTTCTATTGGTTATGTTTTTCAAGTGAATCAAATCGAAGAAAGATATTAAGGAAATAAAGGGTAGGTGGTTGCTGCATGTGACTGACAATCCCTGCAGGTGGAAACACTCAAGAGTGAAGCACTGTGGCTTCTTCCATTTAGCTGGTAAGATGCTCCCCACACCCCCACCCCTACCCAGCTTCCCATTCTAAAGTCTTAGAAGACCTTAGGGTTTGGCAGTGGCTGCAGCCTTGCAGAAAGCCCAGTGGGCTCTCTGAGCAAGGCTGGGAGGTATTGGGGTCCCAGCTGAGTGATGCCTAAGCAGGCAGATGGGTGACAGGTACCTGGCTGCCCAGGCTGAGGAGGTGCTGGGCTCTGCATGGAGGCAGGGGCAGGTCTGGAGGCCTTGACAGTGTTGGCCCATCTCAAACCTGCAGGGTAAAGGAGAGGAAACAGCCCTGTCAGGTGCGTGCGTGTGCTCGTGCACACACACACACGCAGTGGAAACGGGAAAGCTTGGGACCACTCATCTTGGGCAACATCTCTGGATTCGATTTGAATTGAATGCAGCCCCTGACACTCTCAGATCTCTCAGACCTCCTTCTCCTTCCCTAGAGGGTGGCCACTCTAATACTCAGACCTCCAGGGCAAGTTACAGCAGTGACATGAGTGTTGAAAAAGCACAGGTGCTGTGATATTGCTTTCATTCACACGATCTAGCTTCTCTGGGCCTCAGCCTCTTTGTCTGTTAAATGGGGATGATAGTACCTACCTCATAGGTTGTGGTAGAGATAGAATGATACGGTGCATGCAAAGTGCTCAGAACAGTGTTTGGCATGTAGTAAACCCTAAACACTGTTATTATCATTGGAGGAATCTGGTCTCTATCTTCACATGGACCTAGCGTTATATCCCAGACTTTTCTTTAAAAAGCTGTGCAGTGCTCATTAGAGCTGCGTGTCAGTACTCCAGGACCTCAGAGGATGGAGCAATTAACTCAGCCCAAGGTTGAGCAGGTAAGTGCTAGAAGCTTCATAGATAAGGGGAACATTTATAATGACTGTCCAGGGATAGGGGACCCAAATGTGGTTTAAGAATGTCATGTGACTGTCTTTTCCCTCAGGAGGCAAAATCATACATGGGTTAAAAGCACAGGCTTTGATAAACAAAAATTAACTCAAAATAAATCAGAGATAAGAGATCTAAACACAAGAGTTAAAACTATAAAATTCTTAATCAAAAACAGGGAAAACATCATGACATTGGCTTTGGCAATGATTTTTTGGGATATGAGCCGAAAGTACAGAAAACAAAAGAAAAAGCAGGTAAATTGGACTTGATCAGAATTTAAAATGTTTCTGCATCAAATGACAATGTTGATACTGTCAACAGAGTGAAAAAGGAACCAATGGAATGAAAATACCTGCAAATTATGTATCTGATTAGGGATTATTATCCAGATTATATAAAGAACTCCTGTAACTCAATAATAAAAGCACAAACAACCCAATTAAAAAGTGGGCTAAAGAACAAACATTTCTCCAAAGAGAAGATATATGAATGGCCAATAAGCACATGAAAAGATGCCCAATATCACTGATCATTAGGGAAATGCCCCTGGAAACCAGAATGAGATGTCCCCTCCCAGCCATCAGGGTGGCTAGGTTATATATGGTACGTGTATATCATGTACAGGAAATAACAAGTGTTGGTGAAGATGTGGAGAAACTGGAACCCTGACGTACTGCTGTTGAGAATGTTAAAATGGTGAGGCTGTTGTGGAAAACGCTATAGTGGTTCCTCAAAAAATTAAGCACAGTCTTACCATATACTCCAGCCATTGCACTCCTTAAGTGTATGGGATTCCTTAGCACAGCCCCAAAGAACTGAAAGCAGGAACTGAAATAAATATTTATATACCAATGTTCATAGCAACATTATTCCCACTAGCCAAAAGGTGGAAACAACCCAAGTGTCCACCGGCAGATGAATGGATAAACAAAATGGGGTCTAAGCAGACAATGGAATATTATTGTCTTAAAAAGGAATGAAATTCGGATACATGCGACAACATGAATGAGCCTTGAAAACAGTATGCTAAGTGAAATAAGCCAGTCACAAAAGGCCACATATTATGATTCTGTTTATATGAAGTGTCTAGAATAAGCAAGTGTACAGAGACAAGATAGACTGGTGGTTGCCAGGGACTGGGAAGGGGGGAATTTGAAGGTATTGTTTAATGTGTACAAAGTTTCAGTTTGGGATTAAATAGTTCTGGAGATGGATGGTGGTGATGGGTGCATGACAATGTGACTAAACTGTACACTTAAAAGTAGTTAAAACTGTCCATTTCATATTAGGTACATTTTATTACAGTAAAGATTTTTAAAAAGCATTGTCAATAAAAACTTCACCTCTGGAAGAGAAAAAACAAAAAGCACAGGCTTTGATGTTGGGCAGATGTGTGTTTAATTTCCATTTTAGCCAATTAATAGCTGTGTGACCTAGGGCAAACAGCATCACTTCTCTGAGCTCAGTTTCTCTGTCTGTTAAATGGGAATTATAAGTCTTCACACCTGGATTCGGGGTTGTGACAAAGATTAAATGAGATGACATATGTGAAGAGCTTGGGACATCATCTGGCACATAGTAAGCACTCAGTAAATATTCTCTGATGTTGCAGATCTATGAAATTAATCTTTCTCTGGGAATCTGAATCATAGGGTCATTAGGGGGTCTAGGTAGCAGATTAGCACAAAGTATGTGCCCAGCTCTCTTGTCAAGAAGAGGAGCTAAGGAGCTAAGCTACAAACCCTCTATTCAGGAAGAACAGGCCAGAGGTCAGCACGGGGCCTAAGTATTCAGCCCATCTAACTTTAGACCTGGTCTCATTCCTTCATTATAAAAGAAATGAAGCTGTTCTGAGTCTCACACAATGGACTAAAGAATATGATCTCCCCAAGCTAGTAGACATTTCTTTTAAAGCCCAGGAATCAAGGATTCCCACCAGTGGGCAGTCTTGCCAAATAAATCCACCATGAGTGAGGCCAGAGGTGCCAGAACCCCAGGAGGCGCGAGCAGCTGCGGGCGGTGGCCCGGCTGTGCTGACACCCCCATGTCACGGACAGCAGAGGCCACCTGTCACAGCAAGAAAGAATTTGGGTGGATCTATGAGAGGAAAGCATCCTGACTTTGCTCAAAGTCAAGGGGTGTTTCACCCCAGAGTTTTTTGGGAGAGGAGGGGGAAAAATCCATGTTTTTCTTATTTATGGCACTCGAGCAAGGAAAGGATATAACCAAAATTATGAATGTCTAGAATCAGAATTGTTTCTGAATCCTGTCTTTCCTCTCCCATACACTAGAACCAGCATCTAGAAGAGAACACAGCACACAGTAGGTACTCAATAAGTACTGGATAAATAAATGAATAAAAACACGGTCCTCCACATCCCTTTTGATTCTCATCCAGGAAGTCTGCCTGGGATTGCCCATCTCTCCTACCTGCTGGGCTCCGGCTGGAGTCTCCGGAAGCCACACTGTGACCCTGGTCCCAGCTCTCTGGGTCCTGGCTAGATGAGCTTGCCTGCACCTCACTGGCCCTGCGCACAGGGGGCCCATAACTTCCTCGCCCGGGAGTAGAGGCCAGGTCAGGGCCTGGAAGGAAAAGCATGGATTGAACAGAGAAAAGGCAATGGAGGAGTGGGGCAAAAGCATTCCTGTCCCAAAGTAGAAGACAGAGTCGGCAGAACACACCTGTCTTCGGACCTGGGCCCCTCTTGTCTTCAGTGTCACCTGGAAAGAGAAAGAAATTATGGGGAGTGCTTGTTTTATGATTTCTGGAGAGCCATTATTAAGGACTCACAAAGGGCCCCATCCACCATCCCAAAAACTTTTTTTCATTTAGAAGTCTACCCTCCCAATCTCCCCTTTGATGTAGCTCCCATGAACTGTTTCATATTATTTCCTTTGCATGCATAAACACATATGAGCACACATAGGCTTAAAGAAGAACTAACTGGGGTCACTGGCTATATACCATTCTAGAATGTGCTTTGTTCACTCAACTTGATTTTCCCGAGGACTCATGCTGCAACCTCAAGTTCCTTTGCACATCATAGTCCCAAATATTTTGCAAGCCTTCTCTACCACTTTCATGAGGTTTCTGCCCAAATATCATCTCATCAGGCAGCCCTTCCCTGGCCATTCTATCTCACATGGAGCCTCCCGTCACTATCTACCCACTTTCCTGCCTTCATTTTTGCTTCCAAGCAAGTACACTACTTGCTATTATATCATATTTGCATTTGCTGCTTCTTGAGCATGTGTTTCCCCCATGAGAATTTTAGCTGCAAAAGGGCAGGGATTTTGTCTGTTCTTGGTTAAAAGAATATTGAAAGTGCATATCCTGGCATAATTCCAAATCTATAATATACATTTACATCATTCAAATTTAAAAGATGCTCGGTATAGTATGGAGTGGATATATCCTAATCCATTCAACAATTCCTTTACTAATGAACACATAGGCTTTCCCAGTGTTGTTGGTACCATACATAATAATGTAATAAATATACATATATCTTTTATGTTGGTACTTTTATTGCTATTAAATCATTCCCAGAGAGGGATGGCTGGATCAAATGGTATATATACTTCAAATTTTAATAAATTCTGCCAGGGACTTTCCAAAAGGTTGGAAGTGACTTAGAGTCCTACCAACAGTTGATAGAGTACCTGTTGCCCCACACATTCATGAGCACTGGGTGATTTATTTAAATCAATAATAATTATTTGTAATTATTAAAAATAATTTGGTAATTATTATTACCAGCACCACTAATTTTTTTAAGCTTCAGTGTACAATGCTGGTGATGTTACTTCTTCCTAGTGAGGTGAATGGGTGTCACATCCACCATATTTCAGAGTTATTTGTTTTGTCTAGAGTTTATCTGGTAAGCTCATTCATGCCATTATGTGCATATGTGTATGTATCTGTGTATAAGTGGTGAGATTGGCCAACATTTACAAAGTGCTCCACTCTGCAAAGCACTTTGCATGTAGTATCTCATTTCTTCTTCAGACTAAAACCCAATGAGTTATTAACTCCATTTTATAGATGGGGCAAGAGTCTCCAAAAGGATAGGTGACTTGCCCAAGCAAGGGCTGGAATTCAAATTCATATCCTCCTGACCTCAGATGCCTGAGGTCTTGACAGTTATGCTATGCTAGCTTCGCAGTCTAGAGGGAGTAATCGGAAATGAGAAAGAAGGATGCTCTAGTGGTGGAAACTGGGGGCCTCTAGGGCATGTAGTGTATATTGAGAATTTGGTGATTCTCCACAAGGAATAGAAATTGCTCATGCCTTGTCAGGAAAGCATTTGTTGAGTGCCTTTTAAGTTCCAGCCACTGTACTGGAATCTTGAGAAGTAATCTTATAGGAAACATAGCTGGGCACTTTTATTTTTGAAACCTTCAACTATAACCTTCCTTTCAGAAGCACTGCCTGCACACAACTCTGGAATTGTCATGCAGACCAGATTTTATCACTCAGTGTTAGTTGAAATTGTTGCAAGGGCTTTATCTGGTCAGTGCTTATGGTCTTATTCAATTACAATGTGTTTTTATTGTGTTTGTTTTTTTTTTCCTTTTTACTATTTGGCCTCTTCCTTTTTATCATTCTTTTAATAACTAATAATAACACTTGGATAATAGTGATAATATCCATAGGAGTGGTAATTTTCCTTTACTAATTTCCTGTCTGTTCATCTTTTACCATTATGTGCATATGTGTATGTATGCACCTTTTACCTTTAATTAGTCCAATTTCAGATTTGCAGTTGGTGGTGGATAGAAGAAATATCAGGGGCAAGGAAGGCCTCCTCAGCAAGCCCCAAATCCCCCCAGGCTCCGGAGAGTATATTGGTGATGGGAGTCTCTCCATTTCTAATTTTAATTCCCACCTCTGTTTTACCTCTGAATGCTCCAGCAGGGACGATGACAACAAAGGCTTTTGGCTGCAAGGTATTGCTGGAGAGCTCTCTGTGCTACGTTCCTGATAATTATTTATGGTGAGCTGTGAAGAGGACATAGGCATCCTAGACCCAACCCCAGAGCCTGGCTGTCCACTAGCTGGGTAGAAACACAGACAGGAGGTCAGGACATCCTCTAGGTGACAAGTTAGCCAGGATCTGTCCTTGGTACTGAAAGGAAAAGTCATTTTTGTCCTACCTCGAGTTGGAGCCCGGGCAGCGTGCTTGGGCTCCAGGGTGGGATGCTCAGGGACAGTGGGCTCACAGGGTGCTTGGGCTCCAGGGTGGGCTGCTGGGTCTTGGGCTTCCTTATAGGCATAGGCTTGGGGAGGACCTGTTTGGGGAAGCCCTTGAAGAACCATGCTCCAGAACGCTTCCATACCTGGGGCAAGAGAGGGAGAGGATGAAGACACAGCAGCCAAGCACTATTGCTCTTGCCTTTGTGAATGCCAGTTTTTAGCTTTGCTCCCTGCTGTCTGTGCATGAACACAATAGCCAGCACACATTTCTCACCAGTATGCTACTTTTCACAATTCCTATTTGATGCCCACAATGTCCCTGATACTCAAGAAGAGGGTCTGAGTATACCCATTTTCTTGATAAAGAAAGTTGACTATCAAGAAGGTTATAAACTGGAATAAGGTCACACAGCTGGAAAGTAGAAGGAAAAGACTGGATATGAAGTGTAAGATACCACTTCTTAGATGTGGTGTGCTCCATACTGCTAGGCAGAGAAAAATTCTAAAAGTGGAAGGAGAGAAAAAAAATGCATTCAAACATCTGGGGACTGTTGTTGTGTTCACAGCTGAGCTGGTTCCTTTCATACCAACCCCTTAAGACCCATGCCTGACCAGGTTCCCCAGACCTCAACTGCCACCCTGTTTCGGTTCCAACAAAGAAGGGGGAGCTAGACAAAGAAAGGGGGGTGCTCCAGAAGCTGATGGGACCAATCCACTCACCTCTCTTTGCTCAATGCAGATTTTGCAGAGCCACATGGAATGAGGACAATTGTTGGAGGTCTCCACCCCACACTTGGTGCAGACATTCTGGGGACAAAACATAGCCAGTGCATGCTCAGATATGCTAGGCTCTGAGCTGCCAGTGATCAGGGAAGCAGCTAGGAAGGATAGTAATAGAGCCCTATTTCATTTTGGTGGATGTAAGGATATTGAACTCTCTTTTTCTTACCCCCTCCCATGATCAAGGCTGGTTAGAAGTTCCAATCTGAGTCTTAATTTCCAACAAGAAGAACTGGAGTCATTCTCAAGCACTGAATAAAGGAAAGAGTCCCTGTGGGCTCTGAGTTTTCAGGACATCACTGACATGATTTTTCAAGAGGAAAGGCCATATACTTATTTTGTTTATGAATTTATTTCTTCTTTCTTTCCCAAAGGAACGTGAGACAATCTAGACTATGGCTACAGGTTCAACTCTTCAAGGAGAAGGAAGTTACCTGAGTAAATGCCATGACAACGTGATAGAACAATATACTTTTGGCTGAGTTTCCTGGAAGCCAAGACAAATTGGAAGACCTTATAGTTCACAAGATTCTTACTTTCTGGTTGGCTGCAGCAGACAAGCATTTTGCAATAGATAAACCTTCTTTGTTACTCCATTCTGAGTGCTAAATGAGACCCCAAGCAGGAGATGCCACGTGACATTCTGGATGTCTCCCATTGGTTTGCTACCCTGAAATCCTTTCCTGGGAATCGGGCAGACCCATAGGCAAAACTCTCTTGAATATAAACATAAGCAACTTTTTCATGAACATATCTCCCTGGGCAAGGGAAACAAAAGCAAAAATGAACAAATGGGACTCAAGCTGAAAAGCTTCTGTACAGCAAAGGACACCATCAGTAGAACAAAAAGACATCCTACAGTATGGGAGAATATATTCATAAATGACATATCCAATAAGGGGTTGACATCCAAAATATACAAAGAGCTCATGTACCTCAATAAACAAAAAGCAAATGATCCAATTAAAAAATGGGCAGAGGATCTGAACTCTTCGACATAAACATTAGTGACTTCTTCATGAACATA